CAGAATAAGGGGTTGTTTCAATTTCTGAAAGTTTATGTCTCGGAAGCCCTCTGTGCACTGTGAAATTGACAGCTGCTTATTGTTCTCGTTCTGCTCCCTCTAGTGCATGGACAGCACGTCTCATTAGTCCTCCGATTTCTGAGGATGCCTGTGCAGAGGTGAGGATCCACAGCCCTTGCTGGGAAGCTCTAACTTGCACATCCCTCCAAGTCCTTTCTGTAATGGTGTCCATAGAGGGAGAAGCCAGGATGACACTGGCAGATCTGGGTGATCCTTATAGTTCTATAGCATTGAGTGGCACACTGCACATAGTCCCTCCAGGCCAAATTAGCTTAGGGAACTGATGCAGGAGAGCAGGTTGTTCAGCAATATTCAGGCAGCTCCTAATCTGTCTCCATTTTTACCCTATTGCTGGGAGCAGAGCCAGCAGTACCCACTTGGTTCCAGAGCAGAAGAGAATGCAGCTGAAGTACTGGCAAATGAGAGGGAAGAGGAACTGCAAGATATTGACTTGTATGTGACAGATAAAATGGCTCTTCAAAGTCTAATTTCTGATATATGGTATAAACAAGTTTCTGCCAAGCATTATGGGGTTTTTAGCCTGTTCATGAAGTCCTAATTAAATGTATCTTTCAGTAACACTTTAGTAACACTGAAGAGGCTGAGGTACATAAAAGTAATTGAAATTGGGCTGGGACTGTTGCTAAATCAGAATAAGAGGAAGCACAGCCCTTGCTGGGAAGCTCCAACTTGCCCGTTCCTCCAAGTTCCTCCTTGGTGGTGTCCATAGAGGGAGAAGCCCTTGCCAGAATGGCACTGGCAGATCCGTGTGTTCTTTGTAGTTCTAGCATTGACTGATAGGATTCTTTACTCCCAAATGTCTCTTGTGGCTTTCTTTCTTCAGCAGCTGTACATCTAACATGAAGTGTTAAGGTTATTGTAGTAGAATTTGCCAGTTTGGGGAGAACAAGGGAAAGAAACAGCTCCAGGTCAAATCCAAATAGGGAACAGGAACAGGGGACCAGGGTGTTCAGGTGGTTCCAAAGCTGCCTCTGTTCCTACCCTGTTGCAGTAGTGAGAGCAGAATCAGCAGCACCCACTGCTTTGTCATTCAGGGCAGCTCCTCAGTCCTGCATTTTTTGTGTCCACTCTCAGTGGGCATCCTTCTCCCCAAGCTTTGTTAACCCTTCCCTGGGCCTGAGCTCCTTGAAGCATGTCAAGCCCTGAACCTTAACAAGGCAATTCTACCAAGAAGGAATTTGCCCATGGGCATCACTTAGAGCTTGCTTGTTAGTTGCTGTCTATTTAATTGAATAAGTCTCCCTTCTGGTTGATTTGGCTTGAAAGTATAATCAAAGACATCAATACAAAGAACATCCTTCCTTAAGAAATCTTTCACGTTCTGCATTTTGCATCAGATATAACTTATGAAAATTAAATTGCAGTTTATCGACAGCAAAGGAGAAGGCCCAGCCAGAACAGAGGTGAACAGGTGGATGGCTCTGGTAATGGAACAGGAGCTAATGATGCAGCTGACTCAGCCCCTGCAGGACAGGGAGCATCAGAGGAGGGAACTGCACTTTCAGAGTACGTATGGCTCGTGCCCTACCAAACATAGAATTTTGTGCCTTTTTTTCTTTTCTGTGTAGGACTAAGTTATACTGCTATGCCTGGTTTATCTTTGAGGCCTTCCCATACTCTCTCTATTTCCTTCCTTCTCCCATGTTGCATGATGATCAAATGATACCATTTGCATTTTGGGAGAAACAGGCAGCCCAGAGCAGATGTAGAACTTTGCACAGAGCCTTAGAGATGAGTGTGGGGGTATGGGAAAGCATGGGGATTACTTGATCAAACCCGAGAGCTGGGTGACTGACTACACCTTTCTTCTAGTGAAAACAAGGACACTCCTTCCCTCAGGGCAGGGAGACCCCAAATCCTCATTAAATGCAGTAAACAGAGACTTAAAGACAGCAGGGTTCTTCAAAGGAAATGTGTCATGGCTAGTCAGTGCAGTTTGCATGATTATCTGAGATTTTATGTATCAATAACCATTGCAGTGTGGTGATCTTATCACCTGCATGTTCTTTCTAGCTCTGCTTCCTCTGGTGCACAGCAAGGAGTTGTCATTAGGTGTCCCGTTTGCATGGATTCTTACTCAGAGGTAAGGATCCACCTGTTGTTGTCTGTTCTGCTTTGTGAGAGGAGGAAGCCAGAAGGGGAGCTGCACAAGTCAGTTGGATGGTGTGGGATGCTGTGGGCAGCTGGCTGGAAGCACAGCCCTTGCTGTGAAGCTCCACAAATGACTCCTTGGTGAAGTGACACTGGCAGATCTGAGAGTCCCTCGTTATTTTGAGTCCAGATGCTCTAAGTCTCATTTGCCTGCTGCCAAGAGAGCAGCAAACTCTAAGTCTCCCTTCTGGTTGATTTGGCTTGAAAGTATAATCAAAGACATCAATACAAAGAACATCCTTCCTTAAGAAATCTTTCACGTTCTGCATTTTGCATCAGATATAACTTATGAAAATTAAATTGCAGTTTATCGACAGCAAAGGAGAAGGCCCAGCCAGAACAGAGGTGAACAGGTGGATGGCTCTGGTAATGGAACAGGAGCTAATGATGCAGCTGACTCAGCCCCTGCAGGACAGGGAGCATCAGAGGAGGGAACTGCACTTTCAGAGTACGTATGGCTCGTGCCCTACCAAACATAGAATTTTGTGCCTTTTTTTCTTTTCTGTGTAGGACTAAGTTATACTGCTATGCCTGGTTTATCTTTGAGGCCTTCCCATACTCTCTCTATTTCCTTCCTTCTCCCATGTTGCATGATGATCAAATGATACCATTTGCATTTTGGGAGAAACAGGCAGCCCAGAGCAGATGTAGAACTTTGCACAGAGCCTTAGAGATGAGTGTGGGGGTATGGGAAAGCATGGGGATTACTTGATCAAACCCGAGAGCTGGGTGACTGACTACACCTTTCTTCTAGTGAAAACAAGGACACTCCTTCCCTCAGGGCAGGGAGACCCCAAATCCTCATTAAATGCAGTAAACAGAGACTTAAAGACAGCAGGGTTCTTCAAAGGAAATGTGTCATGGCTAGTCAGTGCAGTTTGCATGATTATCTGAGATTTTATGTATCAATAACCATAAAGTGTGGTGATCTTATCGCCTGCATGTTCTTTCTAGCTCTGCTTCCTCTGGTGCACAGCAAGGAGTTGTCATTAGGTGTCCCGTTTGCATGGATTCTTACTCAGAGGTAAGGATCCACCTGTTGTTGTCTGTTCTGCTTTGTGAGAGGAGGAAGCCAGAAGGGGAGCTGCACAAGTCAGTTGGATGGTGTGGGATGCTGTGGGCAGCTGGCTGGAAGCACAGCCCTTGCTGTGAAGCTCCACAAATGACTCCTTGGTGAAGTGACACTGGCAGATCTGAGAGTCCCTCGTTATTTTGAGTCCAGATGCTCTAAGTCTCATTTGCCTGCTGCCAAGAGAGCAGCAAACTCAAATTCTTTCCTCCCAATACATGTTGTGATTTTCTTCCTTCCAGATTGTGCAAAGCGGACGACTGATTGTGGCAACCATGTGTGGCCATGTCTTCTGCAGCGAGTGCCTCCCTGTTGCCCTGGAGACTCTTGGCATGTGCCCAATTTGCAGGGTGGAACTTACTCCAGATCAATATATCCCCATTTATATATGAGTGCTTCTGCTTCTCAGATGTATCTTGGACAATAGGCAGTGTAGAGACTTGTTTCTTCATGTATATAGTTCTTCATGTATATCGTTCTTCATCTTCTTCATGTATGTAGTTCTTCATCTTCTTCCTTTATATAGTTCCATTTTTGCTGAATTCAATTTAAATAAAGTTTTGATTGATTTAAATATAGTGTGTCTGCTCTTCTGTGTTGCACTGTGCTGATAGACAGAGATGTTGCCTAACAGGTGGAAATAAGGCTCTTGGTTGGAGCAGTCAGAAGGTCGTTCTTTTCATCTCCCTGCAGTCATTGATTTGGGGGCAATGTGCTAAAGCCACAAGCTCTGTAGTTCTTGTGGCCAGCGTGTGTTGTACGGGGAAAAAGAAACAGGGCCTGCTTGGGGTGAGAGGGATTCAGTTTCTCAGGGCAGACTCTGGTGGACGCTTTGGTGAAAATGTCACGTTCTCATTGCTCAGAAGATGGAAAGAGCAGCAGGTTGTGCAGACATCCAAAGAAAGCAATGTTCTTTGAGAATAAGTGGTACATTAACAAACTGCTGCATTTAGTGTTGTAAGGTTTGATTAGAATTAGAATCTGGAGGCTTTTGAAGGAATGTGTTTTTGAATGTGTGTAGTTGGTGACTGACTTTGAGCTGTACAACTGTGTTGTAGCTTCCTTCAACTACAGCAGTGTAATCCTAAGTTACACTGAAGAGAAATGCAATTGTCCAGAGATATAATAACTGGACATAAGAGAGGAAAGAAAATTACTTCTGTTATACAAAAGTAATAAAGAGGCAAGGGCAGATGTCAGGTAAACAGTGGAATAGTAAATTCAGTGTGCCATGATACAGAAAACTGAAAACGAAATATTCCTTATTTCCAGCATTGTCTGGAAGCCAAATTTTTGTCTTTCTAAGTTTTGGTGTTTTGTTCTTTTGTATTTCTGTAATTTGTTCATCTTTCAACAGTAGCATCTTAAAGGCCTCGGCAGGGCTCCCATCACAGATCTATAATTTTGTAATGATTAGGGAATAGTAGGACAAATGTTCCTAGAATTATGTTGCAGATGAGCTGAAGGATGGAAAAATTTCACAGTTTTAGAATTTATGTGGGGAGGTGATACCCATTTCTCAAGGAAGCTGCAGAGTTAGATGGAAATCATAGATGTTTTGGGTTAGAGGGTTTCTAAGAGGCCTTCCTCTCATCTGCCCAGGGGTGGAAATGAGAGTGACCTCCATGTAGGTCCCTTGAGTTGTCCTGGCTGAAAGATTTACTTTTCTGAAATTATCAGGAAACCACCACAGGCTTCACAATCTCTCAGAGAATGAGCAGCAGCCTCATGATGATGCCAGCCAGCTCTCCTGGGACTCTCAGATGGGTCCTATTTACTCCTATGGACTTGTATGAATTGGAGAACTGCGCCCAAGTAGTGAAAAAGAAGTTGTGGCTGTGGTAAGATAGGAAATAGCAAACATGGAGGAAACAGGTAAGTTTTCTGACCTCTGAAATAAACATGGATAAATCTAAAATGTAATTTTAAACTTGGATAAGAAAAAAACAGATAAAACCCCCATCTAGTAGCTACCCTACCAATGTTTTAGATGTTTTAGCCTGATATTCTCCAGATATCTGGGATACTTCTGGTGCAGGCCTGTGGAGACGAGCAGTGGGGTATAAAAGTGCAGAGGGAAGGGTGAGCTGAATGGAGCATGGTTGTTTGACATACTCCAGCAGTGGAACTCTTTCCCTCTAGCAATTTTGTTCCCCTCCCCTGCCATATGTTTGTAGCAAGGTTTTTAATCTGGTATGTCCTGGACCATTTCTGGGTTATCAGTGGCTGTTTGAAATGATAGAGGTAAGAACTCCTTGTGTGGTGTTTGGTTTTTTATTTTTGGTGACATGCTGTTCTCCAGTTTGGTTGCATTCAGTCTTGTATAAAAAATACACATTTACAACACAAGCATAAGGTGAAGAAAATAATGTAGGTGATTTTAATAGCTTTATGCAAAGAATCCTGCTATTTCACAAAGAAAATATAAAAACGGTGGTCTGGGATATCATAACCAAGTTCTTGTAGAGCTCTTGGCGTGCCAGTAAATTTGCAAACTCAAAGTTAAGTGATTGCATTTTATAACATGCATATTTCTTTGTGGTATTTGTATTCAGCCAGTGGAATTTCCCAGAACAACTACTATGGAGCTGAGTTTTAAATTAGGCTTTCAAAAAGACAGGGTTTTAAATAAGGACAACAAAGTTATGCATAGTTAAAATAGATGATAGGGAAGGATCATGGGGGATGGAAGCCTCATGGTGTAGAGCCTGGGCAAAGAATTTTGAGCCAACTGCTATTTGTTACAAACTTTGTTGCTCCTTTCTCAGAGGTGTCAAGTCCAGATCTCTGTTGACAACCCGAAGAATCAAAGTTCTGATTCACTACTGCAAATCCCAGGTACTCTCCTTCAACTGACGTCTGCAATGGGCAACTTCCTAAAATTAACTTTTATTCAGTTTTATTTTGCAACTATGCAAAGGCTATAGAATTGCCAGGCTTCTGATTATTATGGGGTTTGTCCAGCTAACATTACTTTTCATCTTCAACTGTAGATTCTCTCATGAATTGACACCCATTTTTGTACCCATTTTGCAGTGTTACAGTTCCTGAGCTATAAGGCATATATTTTGCTATGGTTCAATATAAGGTTGGACAATGACATGTTGGGCTGATAATAACTCCTGGTGTATTTTATTGACATTGCTCTCTTAAACAAATTTACATCAGATAAAGACTATAGAGCTGTCTGAGAGGTCAGCAGTTATAGTAGGTGTGTGTAATTTCGCACACATTTAGCTAATTTTGTACAAAGAGCTAATGTTTGGCACCCATGAAGGTTGTTTTTATTCAATTGGCATGCTTTCATTCAAATACCCATTTAATGTGGTCACCAACTATAGAAATAGTTAAACAGGACTGTAAATGGACATGTTTTCTTTGTTGGGATGATTGCTGACACACTGAATTCTTTTCATTAAGTAATTTGACCACAAGCATCTCTTTACTTTGGAAAAAGGAGGAAAAAAGCTCTAGCAAATACGCTTCCTTTCAGTTTTCATATTTGCAGTGTTTATATAGGGGGATATAATTAGAATTTCAGGATAAATTGCACAAGGTATTGGAAGAAAATCAAGACTAAAATAAACATTCAATGCCTTTTTTTTTTTTTTTTTTGGATTTGACCATTGCACACAAACATTTGGTTATAAATAGATACCTCATCCCTGTTGGAGTAACATTTTACATTCAAAGTAGGTTTCTGGAAAAGAAAATCCTTTTCAAAGTGATCTGAAGCAAACATGCAATTTGAAACCTTTGGTTAGTTTATGAATCTTCACTACAATTGGATTACATTTATATGCTCTGTAGTAAATACCAAAAAGCCCTCTGAAGTAAAATATGTTCCAGTGGAATAATCCTTACTGAGAGAACTTGCAACTGCAGTTATTTTTTATCTCTTGATAAGTTTGCATTAGCAGGGTGTTGTGTGCACAGTAGCTGCTGTTACAAGAATAAACACCACTGGCATGTACACTGCCAACCTGAGAGACACAAATCAACTAATCAATTTGATGGTAGCACTTACCTTACCTGGAAGAAGTGGGAGCACTCAGGTTCTGAGGAGAACACAGTACCATTCTCTGTCTACCATCCTTATACAGAATTTGCTACTCTATGTGGAAATTGCAAGAAAATATAGTTTCATGTTTTTCCTTGTGAAGCTAATCCTGAAGAATGTTAGTGCCTCTCTGAAGATCTGTTAATCATGAAAATGTCAGCACACACATGCACAAAATTCCTAGGAATTAATACTTATCTTCCTCTACAGAGAAGAGTCAGTGCAGTGCAGAAGGCAGTAAGATAAAATTTTCAGCTGGGGTTCTCAAGCTGTACTTTTGAAGAGTAGTGCTTCCTGCCTGGATGGTCAAGGCCTCAAGATTCATTTCTCATGTGAAGCACAACAGGTTTTCTGTAAGTGCTGTCTGCCTCTCATAGTTGTATGTATGCACCTGCCATTTATTGAGAAAGAGTAGAAAATACCTTTATTTGGTAATTTGCTGGTTTGAGCCAAGAAAATCAAAGCTGAATTTCACACACATAAAACCAAATAGGAAGAAATTATTCAAAGCAGAAAATGCTAAAAGGTGCTAGTTTAATTCTAATAATACTCCAGACCTTGCTGTGCTGTCACTGTGTAAGGAGTGAGAAACTCAGGTTTTGAAATGCAGAAGGAATTGGTAGAAATGTCTATGAGACATGTCCCTGGGGCACACTGATACAGTATTCCTTGGGGTTGCATCCACTGTACAGAGTTGCTCTAGAAGTGAGCACACCTAACTTTCCATCCATCAATGCTATTGATGTTGAGGAAATGATTAATAAACTAAATGAATTAAAAGTCCAGGATAACTAGGTTTGGCTTCAATATTTGTTTGAATCCAAAAATTGTAATCTTCTGGGAGCCAAGAACCAGAGATTAGCATCTTCAGTGTCATTCACAGCACAAACATGACCCTTTAAGTGGTCTTCTTTTGGTTTCTTCCTGATTCAACATGTTTAAAATATATTCATTTTTCCTTAGTTGATCACTGTCTTTCCTTTCAGTGAAAGTAGGAACTGAGTACTATGCAAGCCTGACAGTCTGATTTTCTGATGGGCAGCTGACATTCTTTAACTGCACTTAAAGGAAAAATGACACCTCATTTAACTGGATAGTGTCCCTCTGCCTTTGAGAACTGACAGTTTGTTACTTTAAAGGTGCAGCTTTTATGCTATTCAGATTATTGCAAAATATTTTAGAGCAGCTCAAGCTGTGGTTCTTGGAAGAAGGTAGACCTTTCTATAGACACTTTCCTGTCTACCTTTTCAACTCTAATAGTTCCCCTACTTGACCAAGCATAGTTCCC